TACTTTATTGGTATTGTTCATGCTGCTGGGGAGCTAAGAACCACGGTCCCGAGCCAGACTCCCACTGTGCAAGGCGCTGTACAAAGGCTGAGCAAACCGAGGTCCCTGCCCCGTGGGGCGCACACGCTAAGTATTCACCGAGACACACCGTGGGTGCAGACGGCACGGGGCGCACGAGGCCACGAGGAGACCCTACTGGGGGCTTTATTGGTATTGTTCATGCTGCTGGGGAGCTAAGAACCACGGTCCCGAGCCAGACTCCCACTGTGCAAGGCGCTGTACAAAGGCTGAGCAAACCGAGGTCCCTGCCCCGTGGGGCGCACACGCTAAGTATTCACCGAGACACACCGTGGGTGCAGACGGCACGGGGCGCACGAGGCCACGAGGAGACCCTACTGGGGGAGGGGTCGGCTCTGGCCCCCGAGAGGGGAGATGGCTCTGGAAGCGGTAGGTGAGGGGTCCAGCCGGACTGGCAGTGGGGGCGCGGTCCCATAGCCACGTGGGGAGAGGCAGACACTGGGCACTGCTGGGAGGGTTAGAGACGGGGGTGGCGAGAGGGGAAGAAATAGGAAGGTCTCTGCTCCACAATGAACAGCATGTAGTGCTGGAATGGGAGCCCCCTCCCCTGCCCACCCCGTACTGCACTGCAGACACGCACCAACCCAGCCCAGCCCTCCGACCACAGCCGCTCCAGCGCCCAGCATCTGCGCTTTTCCTGAGTGGCCAAGCAGTGCCGTGAGTGGCCACGTGGTGCCGTGGTATCCACGCAGTGCCATGGGTTGCCATGATACCCACGCAGTGCCATGAGTGGCCACGCAGTGCCGAGGGTGGCCACGATACCCACACAGTGCCATGAGTGGCCACGCAGTGCCGAGGGTGGCCACGATACCCACACAGTGCCATGAGTGGCCACGCAGTGCCGAGGGTGGCCACGATACCCACACAGTGCCATGAGTGGCCACCACGATACCCACGCAGTGCCGAGGGTGGCCACAATACCCACACAGGCCCATGGTATCCACGCAGTGCCGAGGGTGGCCACAATACCCACGCAGTGCGATGAGGCCGGGGGTGGCCACAATCCCCACGCAGTGCCATGAGTGGCCACGCAGTGCCGAGGGTGGCCACGATACCCACGCAGTGCCATGGTATCCACGCAGTGCCGAGGGTGGCCACGATACCCACGCAGTGCCATGGTATCCACGCAGTGCCGAGGGTGGCCACAATACCCACGCAGTGCCATGGTATCAACGCAGTGCCGAGGGTGGCCACAATACCCACGCAGTGCCATGGTATCAACGCAGTGCCGAGGGTGGCCACAATACCCACGCAGTGCCATGGTATCAACGCAGTGCCGAGGGTGGCCACAATACCCACGCAGTGCCATGGTATCAACGCAGTGCCGAGGGTGGCCACAATACCCACGCAGTGCCATGGTATCAACGCAGTGCCGAGGGTGGCCACAATACCCACGCAGTGCCATGGTATCAACGCAGTGCCGAGGGTGGCCACAATACCCACGCAGTGCCATGGTATCAACGCAGTGCCGAGGGTGGCCACAATACCCACGCAGTGCCATGGTATCAACGCAGTGCCGAGGGTGGCCACAATACCCACGCAGTGCCATGGTATCAACGCAGTGCCGAGGGTGGCCACAATACCCACGCAGTGCCATGGTATCAACGCAGTGCCGAGGGTGGCCACAATACCCACGCAGTGCCGTGGTATCCACGCAGTGCCCCCCATAGTTGCCCTGCAGGGCACTGGTTTGTCTGAATTGGGCTGATTTCGTGCCCCCAGCCTGGGAGCAGGGAGCGCAGAGACCCGGGCTGTTCCCTGCCACGAGGGCGATGGAGCTGGGCTAGTGAGCGGGCTAGTGAGCCCTCAAGCGCCCAGGGCTCTACCTCAGCCTTTGGTGCCTCCAGCGTGCCAAGGCCGGGCCCATGGGGTGCCCGAGGGGCAAGGGTGATGCCGTGGGGCAGGCCTCAGGCTCCAGGCCACAGGAGGGGAGAGGAGTCTGGGTCTGCGAGGAAGGCAATTTAGCTCAGTCCTTGTGTGCGCTGTAAGGCCTGCTGGGACCATAGGACCGACCCCCATCTCCCAGCCCCACATGCTGGGGGGAATGAGGGGCCCTGCAGCGCCAGTGCAATCCGCACAGAGCTTCACGCCCCGGCCTAGGCCTTGTTCTGGCCCTTCCTTCGCCTCCGCCCCCCCCGGCCCCTCCTCTTACAGCCGAACGCGCCCAGCGCCACCAGCGTGCACAGCACCGCCAAGCAGCCCAGCGTGATGACAGCCACCACCACCGCGCTCTGGGTGCGAGTCAGGCCCCACAGCCCCTTCTCCTGGGCCCCGGGGGGCCCAGCCGGGGGCCTGCTCGGGGACCCGCTCGCCGTCCCTGCGTCCCCGGGCCCGGAGGCCGTGGGCGGCACTTTCTCGGGAGCGAGACGGCCGGAGGGGGACGTTTCGGGGTGACCAGGGGAGGTGGCGTCCGGCCCGTCCGTCGGGGCCCCGGAAGGGGTCTCCGGGGAGGAGGGCCCCTCCTCAAAGCCCACGACAGGGGCCCCCCTCACGAGCAGCGGCAGGGGGCACACAGGA